ATAATAATGATAATAATGGAGCAATGAAGACTCTCGGAAAACGCGAAATCGTTTGGCTAAACAACAATCGTTCTCGAATCCCGAGTAATGGGCATTTGGCCAATTAATTTCTTCCCCAAACTGCACACGGCGAATTTAACGCATTCTGGAAGTACCACCAAAGCGCTCCACTTAAAAATATTATTAAGAAAACTGATAATTCAAAGGTAACTCTTTTATTCGAATAGATAATTGCTCAATAAGTTTGCGGAACAAAAGAAAATATCACTTCAATTCAATAAAGTTGGAAAAGTTTGGCGAAGTAAGTTGCCACAGCGAGAACAAAGAGCTCAGGCTGGAGAAGAGATGACTTTGAGGTCGTCGTCTTGACTCCAGCAGATCCATCGTCCGAAGCATCTGGTTGATCCGAAGGTGCATCTGAAGTATCTTGAGCTAACACAAATGTGGCGAAGAAAAGAAGGAAATAGAAAAGGTTCATTGTGTATTTTTTTTCTGGTGATACAGCAGTGGGAGCCTTTGGTGGTATAAATAGTTCAGTTGAGTGCATGTGTGAATGTCTGACAACCAATAATAAAACTGCCATTGAAACAAAGCTGAACATGCTTGTGTAAAGGCGTAACTTGGAAGTACTTAGTGTCTGAATATGATAGTTAAATTTGTTCGAAGCATAGTTAAACTTTAGTATTATTTCCTAATTGTTTATTTGTTATTAAAACCTGATGTTTATTCATGGATTTGAAGGTACTGGATATCCACTAAGTTTTCGTTCGCCTCTCCTTTCATATTGTAGATTCTTTTTTAATCATTATGAACACTTTTGAACAAGCCATAACTACCATTTAGTGGAGAAATAACTATAAAAGTCATTCCTAGTTTTTCGATTTTCAAAACTGTACTGTGTTAACAGAGGATTTGTCCAAAAATGATTTTCAATTGAAAGGCTGATGATTTCCACCTATGAAAGGAAGACATTTTTGCATCCCTGTAGAATGTCCTTGCATCAGACCAAGAATCAAATTTTAACTTCATAATTACATTTGAATGCCTTTTCCCGAAAGTTTTTTCTTTAATTTACGTTTTCCTGGAAATGCTAAAATGTCCCTTTGCTAAACGTTTTTCTGTAAACCTATTCATTGTGATTGTGATTTCTATTAACTGAACTTTTCGAGCGAACTCTAGGATTTCAAATGGTAAAGGGGAGGGAGGGGGGAGGGGAGGGAGAGAGTAGAAGGGTTTGGATCGGTTGACAAATATCTGAGGACTAAGACAGGAATGTGAGAAGTGAAGGAAGTGCAGGTGGTACAAAGGAGACCAAAGTCGAGTGCACAAACTTGGTATTATCAGTAAATAGTTGTTATCAGTTGGTGGTTTTAAAATTAAGATTTCCATGCATCATATTTAATGGCTTGCAGTATATTAGAAGTCGATGGTGTTTGCGAAACCATTCACAGGAAAACGTCTAGCAAAGGGACATTTTAGTATTTCCAAGGAATTATTAAAGAAATAAACTCTCGGGAAAAAGTCATTCAATTTAAATTATGAAAGTCAAGAATTGATTTGTTTCATGATGGCTAAATTTGTTCTGCGGAAGAATGGTTTCAAATAGCAGGCGTTTTGATAGTAATCATTAGCCCTTTAATTGTCTTCAGGCTTCACAGAGGGGAGGAATATTTATTTATTTATTTATTTCAAATGGCGGGCATGTTGATTGTTATCAATAGCCTTTTAGTTGACTTCGGGCTTCACAGAAGGGAGGAACATTAAAGTGAGAAGAATTCGACAGGGGAAAAGAAGAGCGATTCACAGATGTAAAAG